GTCACTGATGCAAAAAACTAAAAATAAATTATTATATCTATTTTAAAATATTAAATTCAATAAAATAAAAGCTGTGGAAGTTTGTGGTGAACGAAGCGAGCAAAGCATAATCCGCTGGTTATCTTACACCTGGAAAAACATTACGAAATTTCAAGGAACACATTTGATGGATCATCAGAAAGAAGCTGATGTACGAAGCTGTCAGGCTCAACATTGCAAAATTTATGCATATTTAAGGCACATATTCTGAACAGATGAATTCGCTGTGAGGGTAGATGTTAATTAAACATCATCAGCACTAGCACAATTCTCTTTTCGATGGTAAAATACATGCTAACTAAAATCTACGTGAAACTGCTTCACGCTACATGTTCTATGCGTGAAATCTAGTTGAGCAAAAGCAGTTAGGAGAGTGAAAGGGAGGCTTAAACGAGGAGCTCATGACAAGTAAAAAGAAGAACTCATATCGGTAATAACAAGACAAAATATACGACGACAGGCTGTTTCAGAAGCTGTGAAAGCCGAGTGTCATCTTTGTCAAAATCTCCAAAATTCAAATTTCTTGCCTTTGCATACAAAATTATTAATTATCAATCGAAAAAGGCATTGCTCAGGTGAAAAGACACGAACGCGTGCTACAAGATAATGTGCCCATGAAATTATAAGGAAAGGCCTATTAAACAGCATACCTGTGTCTTTTGGGCGGAATGTTTCGCCACTTTCAAGAGGCATAAGTAACAGATGAACTCCATAAAACTGCGAGTGCCTACATGGTTGTGTGATGTCAGCGTTAGGGATCGAATCTGGAATATCTTCATAAGAGGAACATTGGTGATAGTCTCAATCAGAGAAAGGCAAAACGAGAGAGTAGAATTCATTCGTTCAGCCGTCTGAGGAGACGAGCTGACGATTGCGCGTATTGTAATTCGACTACTGGTCATACCAGGGAAGGAAAGGGGGCCAAATACGGCGGTGCAATGGCATAAACAATGACATAAAGCTACGGCTACGGACGTGGTCAAAATTTTGACCAAGGGTCAGTGAATGTTAGGTGAATTAATTCGCATGACAAATTCTTGGTAAAGAGAATGTATCAAGTAAAAGAAAATTAACGCGGAAAGCATTTTCACACGTAAAAGTTCAAGTAGCAATTATATAACTTGACTTACAGTTCCAACAGCAGCTCCAGCGGTAAGATCTTTTGACAATAGCGTCATTCCAACGTAGTAATAATAGGTATAACCCAAAAGCGCAGCAAGACAACCAGTCACAGCAAAAAATAAACACGCCCAAGTAACGCAAAATATCATTTCCTAAAGATGTAATGATTAGCTATAATCCTCTTCTAAACGATATTGACTGTAGCATTTACAAATGATAGACACGGCGGTAACTAAACTATCATGTCTTCATGTCTCCATATCAACTTAATATTCAAAGGCTGAATAAAGATATAACGTTCTGAGCCATATTCAAGATTATTTAATAGGAACGAATGCTGAATGAGATTTGTAAGAAAATATACGCTTTCCCTTATGTTCAGACTTGTTCCTTCGTGAATCTGTGACTTGTCAGTCATTCGTCATTTTTGTTATAGCCCAAACGTGTGTATATATGAGTCAATTCTCTCAATAACTGTTGTCGTTGCCATCCGTTAATCAACTTGTTGTCACTATGGGAACGCAAGTCGACGCTCCTCAGGTATTCAATATTCTCTGTTTTCCTCCTCCACCGAGAGCCAATTAATCTGACCATCAGATTTTCCCAGCCTGCTTTTGGACGACCGAGGGGAGGTCTGTGGTTCAGCAGAATCCAGTATATATTTCTTGACGTCCACCAGCTATTTTTCAGACAATGAACATGATCGGTTCATCGCGTGTTAACGTCGTGGATGGCAAAAATGGTTAATGCGGTCCGTTGTGGAACTTGTACGCTCGGAACATAATTTCCGTGAGAAATACCTCGCTCATTCTTCGCTCCATTGCTCTTCACGTGATGATCACTAGTCTCTTCCCATGGGCTTTAGCGACGGGCAAACTTTTAGTACCGTAGGACATGGTGCATAGGACGCATGAGTCGAATAACATTTTATTTGCTAGCATGGATAGCTCGTTGTCAAAAATGATGTGTAAAGTTGACAAGTACTATATAGTTGTCTTTGATATACCGTGATTAACGATGCTTTCATTTTGAGTTTATGGTAATCATCACTGCCAGAGCATATGAACTTGATTGATTGATGGCTAAACTTACGTCCACTGGGGAGACAGCACTGAGGGAGTACTTGCGAGTGAATCCGAAACAGCTGCATTGGCATCTGCTGAAATTTTCAGGCATTTGCACTGAACGGAGCGCGGTGTAGGCAAGCGTAAAGGCGAACCCAAAGAAAGAAACACAGGCACTCCAAATGACTTCGCTGTACATTTTCGGCAGGCAAACGGCACAGATGAACGTTACGACGGCGAACACCTGAAAATCAAATATCAATAAAATAATTCATAATACAGTCTAAGCAAGGCAACGGTGTACATGGATGCTAAAGTCTGCATTGAGAACGTTCACCCGTTGACTTGTATTTACCGGGCATGGAGGAACTACGCCCTTGCAACTGAAAGCCTCGAATAACAATTACCATTGCACTTGCCTAGATTACCTTAATGTTGCACTATACGTTGTCCAGAAGCATAGACAAGAAGTATCAAAAAGGTTATACTAAAGGTGCAAGGGCCAATGTAATCCGCTCGAGAATAAAACGAAAAATAAATTGCAGATTTTCTCAAGCCCGTTTTTATCGTCTATTTGCTGATTGGTGAGGCATCTGACGGTAGAAAGCATAACTAATTTTTTACGAATCATTGTTTGGCAAAAGTCGTTCTTTATTTTTGTTAACAGTTTGCTCTGCACTTCAAAGAGATGGTTTAAACCAAAAGGGAACAGTAAATATCATCTTATTGATTTTTCATTTTCTTGAGCAAGGAATTCAGCTCGAGAAATGGGTGGCAGCTGTTTGACCTGCCTGGAAAATACGGCAACATCATGACGTTCTGTTATGAAAATATTCGCTTAGAACCATCTGACAGCTGACTTAAATTCAGAACTTAATATCAACCGTAGAAAAAGTATGACGAATAATATAGCAATTGAAAATTATGATATTTGCAATGTGAGAAAATAAACAGATTGTCTGAACCCTTCGAGCCATTCTGCGTTTGACCATCGGCGCTTATCATGATCCGTCATGCGTTCGACAATGGCATAGCAGAATGCATAACCTAAATAGCAGTCCAAGACCATGAACTGCCGATCGCTGAAATAGAACGTTCGAGAGAGGACGAGAGTTTTGTTCTTTTTTGTATAAAAATTTTCTGCCATATTTGTTCTTGGCTGCTATCCAGTTGCCCCTTGAGCCGGAAACCTACGGTGTCCTCTGAACACGTTTCACTAAATAAATTTTGAGCTGAAATTTAACATCGGTGACAAAAATGTAAGCTTCCCCGTTGTCAGTCCCATACCTGCCCGGATGAGAAAGGAGGAAGGTTTGGGACCGTGATGAGGTCTACTGTAAAACTAAGCCAACTGTCCCTCATGATATTGTCGTTATCGAACACTGTACCAGCCCGGTTAACGCCTGGGTTATCAAAGACCGTGTAAGCTGTTGGGGCACTGAAGCAGACTGCGTAAGATTTCTGATCACAATGCCGTAAGGGGCATTG